GCATCATACCAAAAGGTTTAGTCTAAAAAGAACAACCGAAGCAATTGGAAGAAAGAGAACCTGAGCCAGCTTTGCCTTTTCAGCCTCATCATTAGGGGGAGCCGTTGGCGAAATGGGAGAAGAAGAAGCGCGTGTTTCCGAACAAAACAGTCCTCTTCGATTCCCAAGAGTACCAAAAGCCTTTAAAATCAGCAACGAGGAAGAAGAAGAAGAAGAAGAATAGGAAGATCGAATGGCATTAACCGAAGGGATGGAATTGGGGGGAGAATTGAGATTGGACGCGTGGCGTAGGGAGAGGGGCAGGCGGTGGAAGCGGCTGAGGTGTAAATCCGATGAGTAAACTGCGGCGGCGGAGTAGGGACCGGCGGGAGCTACCGGCGAGAGTAGGGACTGCATGTTTGACGATCAAATTCCAGAATTTTGATAGCGGTGCTGCAGGCAGAGAGCCCACAGTGGATACCACAGTAGTTAGCGTTTTGCTGGGGTTTTGGGTCTGCCTGGGTTCTAAACTTCGTAAATAAATATTTAATTGATAAAGTGCTTTATTTATGTTATTTTACTTTTTATTTTTAGTAATAGAACTTTTGATTGGAAAATGAAAATAGCTACACGAAGATAAACTGAATCTTTTATAGTCATTTGCCCGAAGGTAATTTTTTTTTCTCTCTCTCTCTAAATCTTTTATATTTATTTGAGAGAATTAAAGAAAACACAAAAAGAAAATATGAATTTAAATTTCATAAAAATGACATAAATGGTAAATTTATACCATCATGTATAGGACCAATTAGAAGTAATGATATTTTTATAAATATATATTTGTTTCATGTCATTTAGGATAATTTTTTCTTTAGCTTTTAAATTTGTAAAAAATATATTGAAATTCAAACAACATATTGACCACTTTTATACCAACATAATCATAGCTTAATTGCAATGGTATTTTCTTTTATTAGATGTCAAGTTTTCTATTAATTATTTTAGAAAATTATTAATCTTTTTTTTTTACAACAATTTGAGTATCAAACCTCTCTGATGCTGAGTAAAGTATTACATGTCAATTATCGTTGAGCTATATTCATATTGACAATTATGAATTTGTTTCAAAATATTATATTTTACTCGTTAAACATGAATTTTGAAATATTTATTTACACATATATCTACTGGTGTACGACTTTTGGCGTGTCTTGAATGAGTGACAACAATTGAAATAATATTTCTTTATATGCAAGTTTAATAAGCAAATTGAAATATTTGAAAGTTAAACAAATAAAATGGGATAATCATAAAATTAAAAATAAGATTAATCTTAAGTTTATTTAACTCAAGAATAATAATTGAAAAGTAATTGTATATAATTTATGTTGTTAAAAAAAAGCTAAGTTTAGTTCTTACATTTTCAAAGTCGTAATTTAACCTTAAAAAAGTTAACCAATAATCATGTCTTGCTTTATAATTTTGAATTTTTTTTTATAGTACAAGATATGGGGTATTCGTTATCTTGAGGTAGATACTATAAATATATTCAATTTGTTAGTCAAGAATAATGATTTGGAGAGTTACGACTCATCTCTGCATAAATCAAAGCAAAGATTCATAGTCGATGAATGAAAGGGAGTTTTTCTTGATTGTATTGTTTTAGTTTTGAAAAAGAAAATTTTAGAATAAGGTTTTATTTTAATAATCGAGAGCAAGACTCACGATTTAGGGGAAAATCGTGGGCTACATCCACGATTTAAGATTATGGAAAAGAAAAAAAAAAGCATGGGTCGTCTATAACCGCCCCCGCAACTGTCGACGTAAACTCGTGAAACTTTCATGGTGAAAATGGTGCTGACAATTTGCTTTCTCCTCCAATAATTAACGATGTACATGCCATTTAGTCTCAAGGTAGAGTGAAGAAGAAATGTCCCTCTTCATTTTTTGTGAAATTAAAAAGTATATATAAACTATGAAAGACTTTATTTTGCTAGCTGTTTAAACTTTGTATAATACTTTAAGTTATAAGAGAAGAATGCATCATGAAAGAGATGGAAGAACTTAACAAAAAAAAAAAATTATCAACTTTTTAAGGTTGATAAGTGGTAAGAATCCCATAAAACGGACCTAACAAGTGTTTATAATAGATATGAACTACTTCTTTCATTGTAAGTTTAGATATTGTTTATAATATATTTACTAAGGAGTGAAACTTAAATTTAAACATAATTGCTTAAAATAATTTTAATACTTTTTAACTTAATAAATATATATTAATTTTGATTAATTCTAAAACTTTATACACCTATATCATTTTTATATATATTGAATTTGAGGTTCAACTAATCATTGTGTTGAATTGTCAACATAACTAAATTATCAATTTAAAATTTAGAAGGCTGATATAAAATAATTTATAACTTAAAATTATATAATTTATTTTTATTAGTTATCAATCGATGTTCACCCTGACATTAAATATATACTTTTAAAGTAATGACACGAAATAAACGTATATATAATTTATCTAATCCTAGATATCACTGCCTTTTTCGTAACCCTCTACCAAACAGCCACCGATGGTTTAAAACTCTCATGAATCGCGTGTTTTGGGCGGTACAAGTTAATAAGTAGATGAAGAGAAAAGCGTCCATCCAAAACGCACGTTTCGACAAAAGCATTTATAATTATCGCCGAGACGAGACCCCACCGGACGGAATTATATAAACCAACCACCACCACCACCACCGTCCCACAAGTCCTCGAATCGGTATCATGGCGACGACGAGCGATCCAGATCCAGATCCCCAAAACAAGCAGATCTTCATCTTATCAGGGCAGAGCAACATGGCCGGGCGCGGCGGCGTGTCGAAGAAGCCCAAGCGCTGGGACGGCGTCGTTCCGCCGGAGTCGCAGCCGCACCCCTCGATACTCCGGCTGAGCGCGAAGCTGGAGTGGGAGGCGGCGCGTGAGCCCCTCCACGCGGACATCGACACGAAGAAGACGTGCGGGGTGGGGCCGGGGATGTCGTTCGCAAACGGCGTGAGGGAGCGCGTGGGAGTGGTGGCGCTGGTGCCGTGCGCGGTGGGGGGGACGGCCATAAAGGAGTGGGCGCGTGGAGAGAAGCTGTACGAGGACATGGTGAAGAGGGCGAGGGAGAGCGTGAGGGGCGGCGGAGAGATCAAGGCGCTTCTGTGGTTCCAAGGGGAGAGCGACACCAGTACGGAAGCTGATGCGGTCGCGTACCAGGGGAATATGGAGGAGTTCGTTGCTAATGTGCGCCGCGACCTCGCCTTGCCTTCCCTCCCCATAATTCAGGTACATCACATTTTTATTATCCCATTTATTTTTATTTTCATTATTTTTGGATGGATCTGGAAGATAATTTTCGTTTCTAAAATTTTGACACATTTTCGGAATATTAAGATAAGGACCGGATTCCTTTTCTATTTATCTTCTTTCTTGCTTTTAGTTTTGAATTCTTTTGGTAATTTTTTTATATGAAAATTAATTCCTCAAAATCTTTATGTTGTATTTAGTTTTTCTTTCTAATATTTTTGTATGCATTTTACGGTCAAAAAGATAAAAAAAATAATGTTTTTTTTTCTATGTTTTGAGAGCAAGAATAAGAAATCAGAAAATTGATTTTATTGTTTCTTAAATTTCTAGAACAAATTTTTAAAAATAAGAAATGAGAAACAAATATCATTTCTCAAAAATTGAATTTCAAAGTTAGTTTGAATTATACTTCTAACGTTTAAAAAATCACACTGCTACTTGCCACGTTTACTGTTAATTTTTACACTTAATCACCACGTCTTATTTTAAATATAAAGTTGTTTTTTTCTTTTTGATATAAAATTATTTAGGACATATTTAAACAAAATGTGAAGAATAGAAGTGGACTTTTTTTATATGATAGAGTTATTATTGAAATTAACCAAAATAAAAAAGTTCTCAAATACTTGTTATTTTAGCTAAAATAAAATCAAGGAAATATCTTTCTATAATAAAAAAGAAGGAAAAGTAGTTACAAAATTTTATTATTCAGTGACATTAAAAAATATTTTGGACTGATTTGATTTAGAGGAAATCAGATCTCATTGCTAGGCAGCTATCGGGTAACAACTTAGTCCTTATATTTTAAAAAGTAAAATTTATAACAACTTAGTTCGTGACATAAAAAATCTCAGGTTGCAGTAACAATTTAATATTTTTAGTTTATAAACACATTTAGTTCCTCACTCAATTTATTGATCAACATATATAAGAAACATTATTGCATCCTAACGACATTTTTTTATTACATGGACTGAATTGTTATAAATTTGGGAGCACAAAGACTAAATTATAACAACTAAAAAGATACATAGACGCTATTAAATGTCTTTTTCTTTTAACAATTTAGTCTATAATTTTAGTACGTAACAATTTAGTATTTTCATTTTAAAATTTGTAACAACTATGAAAATTAAAATCTCATCGAAATTAAATGTCGATCTTCATTACATGACGACTTAGTCTTAAACAGATTTAGTCACTCATTAATTTATTGATGTACCTGTGTAAGAAACTCTATTAAATCCTAATAACATATTTTTCACAGTAGAGACTAGACTGTTACAAATTTGAAAATATAGAGACTAAATCGTTATTTATTGAGAAAGTTAGCCGTGGTTGAATGTGAAATGGAAATAGGTGGCACTTGCATCTGGATTTGAGTACATTGAAAAAGTGAGAGAAGCACAATTGGGAATGAAAATAGAGAATGTGGTGTGTGTGGATGCAAAGGGGCTGCAACTCCAAGAAGACAACCTCCACCTCTCAACTCAGTCTCAGGTTGTTTTGGGTCAAATGCTGGCTCAGGCTTACCTCTCCCCAACCCATGGTGTCCTCTAAGCCTAATCCTAATATTGTTTGGTGTTTGCCACTTGTGTGTTTTTTTGTTATAAATGTAATGTACCTACATGTTGTAGGTCTTATCCCATCCTTTATTACGACTAGTGCGTAACACGTGATATGCACGTGGTATTTTTAGTTTTATTTTAGTATATGGAATATATGTTTCAAATTTTCATTCTCTTATAAGTTAAAGATAATGTGTGAGAAGCTAAAGCGAGCATAACTTAATGGTAATTGGCATATACCTCCAACAAAGAGATCAAGAGTTCAAATCCTCAACAAGTTTACTAAAAACATGATTTTTTTAAGTAAATACTTTAAAGGAAAAAGTAAGAAATAAATACAAAAGTATATTTCTATTTCATATCTAGGAAAATGAAATCGTTTTTATTATAAATCATACTTAGCTTATAAAAAAGCAAAAGAAAACCTAATAGGTTTTTGTTTCTTCTTATTTCAAACCATTGTAAAAAGAATAATAATAAAGGGTAAAAATCTCCTAAATATTTGCTTTTGTCTTTTTTCTTCGTCTTCCCCATGAAGCAACACATTTTCTTAAAGAGAAATAGATTCTACTTCTCATTGCCTTTAATTATATATCATCTCATATTATATTTTCAAAAATAAATTTAATTTTATAGAAAAATAAAATTGTACAAAAATATTTTTCAAAATATGGTATTTTTTTAATAAATGGTACAAAAGTATTTTAATACGTGTCTTGCATGTGGTATCTTAATTTTATTTTAATATATATTAATGTAAACTTTAATTTTAAAAAAGTTGATCTCTAAGATCAGATTGGCTTCCTATCGCCTGCGTGGCCAACAAGATCATAAACAAGAAATTTATTGGATTTGTCCTCGGGTGTATGTTGAAAGCTTCTATAGTTGAAGAAGCTAAGCTGGTACGGACATCTATCCAAATACATGCACTATGATTATATTGGATTACTATATATAGAATTAAAAAACCAAAATTTTGTATTCCTCTGAAAAAACCAATACTTTTGGTATTCCAAACTCTTTAAATTTCCATGAAGTATATTTTAAAAAAACTAAATTATTATTCTTCCTCTATTTCCTTTTATATTCCATTCATTTATCAATAATTATGAGTGCATTTAGACTACCATTAAATGTCATTAAATGTGTATATTTCCTTCTAATATTTATTTTTTAATCTTAATATTGATAGTAAATTGAAATGATAACGTGTACTAAAATGCACAACACATAAAACAATGAAAATGTAAAATATTAGTATAACATTTACAAAAATTAAGAAAGTGAAAGATTTACCGATTCATTAATTAAAATAAAAGTCAGCATTTATATTGACCTCATGGTTTGTATACGTCTCTTATCAAATTATCATAATATATATTAAGTTTATTGAATGAAAAATAAGAGTCGTGAATTTTGAAAGTCGGTGTGTTTTATTTTACTGAGGAAGGTAGTTAGGGAGACTTGTTTTATTGCGTAAATAAACATGTGAGATCGTGGAGTGTGAGAATATCAAGTGATTTCAAATGTACTAATTACTCAAATAAACATGCATATGTGAATTAAAGTATAAGAATGTTAGGAGGGTTTAAAACCATTATTACTCCATTATTAAAGATAGACCTGTTTTTAATAAACTTAGCTATTTAATCTAGCAATATTATGCTAGTATATTTTCGTTAAACTGTAAAAACTAAAACCAATGTAATTGTTATTAAGAAAAATAAAAACAAAGAGTAAACTAGTTCACTCATTGAGTCTCTTTGCATCCATGGTTGAATGGTTAAAGCGTCGATCAAACCGTTAAAGTTCGCTTAATCAAAGCAAGCAAACAAGAAGATCTGACTGAGTTTATGATGGACCGGATCTCGAAACAATTGACTCCATTGATGCATTAATGACCCATTAAAAGGGCAAGTTCATCATGTTTAATGAACTTTACTTGTCAAAGAGAACCCGGTCCGCAAAAGAAGTAGTCAATTGTCGGTAGTGATAGTAGCTTCAAAGGAATTGATAGTATGTATTGAATAGGGTAGATTTCCTCCAACGCAATCCACAGAAATTGAGCTCTTTGAAGGCCTTTCTTTATCCATTCAMGCTAAAAGGTAGTGAGTGGAGTCAGACACAAAACGATCCTCAGCTGTCGAAAGAAGCTTTGTTCGATCGGCTAAACAATATCAAAATTGAAACATGATCTACTATATTTGTTAAGAAAACTTCAAAATAAAATAACGTGAGAGAAAAAGTAAAAATAAATAAAAGAAGAATAACGAAATAAGCCTAGAAAAACTTGTCTGCATACATAATATTTAATAAACAAAATAATGATAATATCGTCCCAAGAACAACATAATAAACTTATTATAACAAAAAAAAATATTTACAAATACAAAATAAAATACATAATAATATAGTAAATGTAAAATTGAAAAATAAATAAAAGAAAATGATAACAAAAAAAGAATTAAAAAACTAATAACCAATACAGACATCCTTGAAGATAGACAAACACCGCCGTTATTAAACTTTATCAAAGTAACATTGTAATCCCTCAAACTTACGAATTGAAATATAGCTTTCATATATGAATTACGTGTGTTGACTTGAAGCGTATCTTTCAAGATTAGGGAGACTCTAAAAACAAGAAAATGAGAGAGAACTAAACAAAGTGGAATTCAAATGGTTGGTGAAGAATGATGGAATAAAATATCTTTTTATATTAATACATGTAAAAGAGTTATAATCTTTTTAAATTCCAAAACTATTGAAATTCTATCATTAATTATTTGCAGTGAAAATCATTAAATTATTCATAAATTCAATAACAACTCTTTTTCATATTCCAACATTTTAGATTTCTTTTAATTGTTACGGTTGATAATTAATTAATTAATTTTTTTGTACAATTAATTACTATTTTTAATGGGGAATATATAGAGAAGTTTATTAAATAAAAATGAATATTAAGAAGTTTATTCACATAAATTATTATAAGCTATCGCTAAAACCAATCTATTAATACAAAAACCTTAATAAAAGTTGAAGACAAAAACCAAAACAAAAAACAAAAAAAGAACAATGAAAAACCTAAATAAAGAAACGCGGTTGAGGAATTTTAATTAAAAAAAACCGTAAAAGGACGATAAATTGAAGAGAAAGGGAGGGATGTGAGAGAGAAACATAAATTGAAGAGAATGATAATTTGGGTATTAAAAAAAGTAAAGGTCAATATTGTCCATATGTACTCTTATATTTATACAAAAACCTAAATAAAAGTTGTATTAAAAAAGACAAAAACAAACAAAACAAAAACAATGAAAAACCTAAAAAATGTAACGCCGTTGAGGAGTTTTAATTAAAAAGAAAAACGTAAAAGGACAATAAATTGAAGAGAAAGAGAGGGTGTGGGAGAGAGAAATATAAATAGAAGATAATGATAATTTGGGCATTACCAAAAAAACTAAAGGTAAATATTGTCCATAAAATATTTCTTCCACATTCGTACTTTTATATATATTATAGATATAGATATAGATTAGTTATTAGTGTTAAATTACAAATTAACTTCGAATAGTTTAGCCTAGGATAGTCGAAAGATTGTTGGATTGAGGTAGATTGATCGGTTTTAAAGGGAGGATGGTCTCCCACTCCCACATGTTGTACTAACAAAAAGAGGACGGTCGGTTGGTCCTCTTTTTCTTGTGCTGCCTACCTCTCACACACACCTCTCGCTCAGATCTCTCACTCTCGTATTTCACGCTTCTTTCTCTCTCTCTCTCATCTCCAAGTCTTAACTCTTGACTCTTTATCTCACTCTCGCCTCTCAACGCTTCTCACTCTTGACTCACTGTCTCACTCACGCCTTTTCTCTCTCAAACCTCTCGACTCTCTGTTTCTCATTAAAAAAATCGATTTAAACTGAGACTAGCCATGGCAAATTAAATCAATAAGAAAAAGCCATTGGTTTTCATTTATGAAAATGGACCAAGTCAATCTTAGCGCCAAACTGACATGACTGTTAAATAGCCCTGGTTTAGCCTTAGTTTCAAATTTGTCATTGTGGTTTGAATTTTACCCCTGTTTGGAAATTTAAAATCCCAAATGATTATTACAGTTTTAAACGTAACAAATCTCTGTTTTGCCCTCATCTTTACGAGAACAAATAACAATTTGATTTTGTTTTTTAAATTTACCTACCTACACCCTTTCTTCTACGCATCATCTCTTTTAAGCAGAATTTTTTCTACTATGCAGATAATAAGACAGAAAAGTTAGTTTCAAATTTTTCTTCTATCTTCTTAGGTTTTTTTTTATTCTAATAGTTATCTTAACTTTAATATCTGTAATTTAAATCCTTACAGATAAACATTTTTTGCATCATCAAGTAAATTCCACGTTGGCTTTCTCTTTTGTTCTAGTCTATTTAAGTTTTCTTGTATTTAATTATTGTTTGATTCTTGTTTATGGTTTTTTTTTGTAGTTCTCTTATTTTTATTTTTTTTCTTTCCTCCATTTGCATTTGTTTTTCATTACTGTAAAATAACTATGATAAAAAATAAAAAGAAAAAAGAAAAAAGAAAAAAGAAAAAAAGAACACTTTGCTACTAATTTAAATTGAGGTGAAAAAATGATTTTCATATGTATTTTTGGTCTAAGATTTTTTTTCTTTTCGTTTCTAATTTTATTGTTCATTCAAATTTTTAAGGGAAAAATAACAATTTAGTTTTTTAGTCATTTATTTGAATAAAGTGAGAACTAGCTAATTTGAAGTTGTTTTTTGAAGTTGATTTGATTAAATTATTTACTTTTATGTGATTGAATTACTGTCTGATTCTAAAATATTATATTATTAATAATATATCTTATAAATTATTAATGACATTATAGTAAAATATTAGTACTTTCTTTTCGTTTATCGTGAACATTCCAGCAATAAATTTTAATTTCAAGGATTTGAAATCATTTTGGTTCCAAACGCAATTAGGAATTCGAAATTATTTCTATAATTTAAAATCTTGTAATTTGAAATCATTTCCTACCAATTCCATATGTCAAACGAAGGTTAGAGTCTAGTTGGTTGGAAGCTCGGATTCTGGTTTTTGATTTTAGATTCATTGGATGGATTCAGTGTTCGACACAATCTAGGATATTCGTTTTTTAAGATTGTTTTCAGATTTTGTAGAAATTCTGAAAACGACTTTCTTAAAAATCTCCATTACTAATTCTTTTCTAACTATCCACTCATTTTTGCTGAATCGACAATGTTAGGGTAATACATATATGGTAGTACATACAAATAATAGTGAAAACTCAATATGGTTGATCTTTTGAGTCTGCTTCAAGACAGGATAACTAGTCAACCAATCAACCAATCTTGGGATAAAGGCTCTCTTGCGCCCATGTTTATTTGTGCTTAACTCTTATACATAGAAAATGAGACTCAATATTTTGACCGCTAATTTATATTATAATGAATATAAAAATGAAGATATCTATTCAATGCATTTCATCCATTTTCTATGTTTTTAGTGTTTTCAGATTCAGAATTTGAAAATTTTAAGATGCAGAATTACATTAAAATATATAAAAATTTTGATAAATATATTACTTCATCTTATAAACTCGTTTTATGTTTATGAGTGTTTGGGGCAACTTGTGCATACCTCAATTTATCTCATGGGACACGTGTCTGATTCTATAACATATGGTGCTAGAAAACACAGAAATTAATTCCTAAATAGGTGACCACAATGAGATTTGAACTTATTTCCTCTCAATTTATCCCAACTCCTTTGAACTAGTGAATGACCCATATGGTTAACATATTTTAAATTTGGATACTAAATGGATATTATGTTTGTTATTTAACGACTAGATTTATAATTTAAACTAATGAACCATATCTTAAGAGGTTATATATATATATATTATTCTACAAAAGTTTTTGTCACTATCCATGGCAAAAAAAAAAAAAAAACACAGAAGAATATAGTCTTCGTGATGCTTTTAGTTTGTTTTTGGCGTTGGCCAAAAAAAAGGTTGGGAGAAGTAATTTGGTTTTTCAAAAGTATCGAGGTCCCTAAGCTTTATAACGATTAATCCTTTATAGTTTAAATTTTATAATAATTTAATTCTTATCAACAAAAAACTCATCAAAATTAAGTGTTTATGTAATGATTTAGTCGGTGTAGTTTATTAATACATTTGGTCCCTCATCATCAATTTATTGACTTTCCTATATAAAAAAACATATAAATTTTAGTAGTATTTTTAGGACATAGATTAAATTGTTACATATGGATTCAAAATTATTATAAATTTAAAAGAACAAGGTCAAACAAATATAGTCCAAATTTATCTCTCATTATACATGTTGTACTAAAAAAAATAAAAAATAAGCGGACACGTGGCAGTCTGGCTTTCCTCAAATGGGGAAATGTGGAAGAAAACGGCAATCGTCAACTGCTGGTATATGTCTATTCGGCCATTGGAGAAGAAGGGATAAGGAGTTTCAGGTGCAGAACTCGGTGTTTTCCGGCGCCAATCCAGCTCCTATAATGGCCGTTCTTCATGCTTCCGCCTCTCTTTCGCTCACCATACGCGGTACTCCCTTTCTCTCTCTCTCACAGTTGCTCGATTTCCCCGTTCTGTTCTTTCATTGTTGAAAATCCGACCGATTCATAAACCATAACAATGTTGCAGATGCTTCCTTCGCAAGATCAGCACCGAAAGTCTTTCCTCTTCACAGACGTCCCCTTCCGAATTTGTACCGCATCGGAACAGCGTTTGCTACTGGCTCTCCACTTGGTAGAGATTCTTATTACTTATATTCTCACTCTAATTCGGATGTTTCTGCGTGACGTATTGCTGATTTCTATCAATTATTAGGTTTTTCAGTTCTTTCTTCCGTTGAAGTCCCAATTTCTAGTGTATAGTGGGGCGTATTATGAATTTTAAGTGGTTTAATGCAACTTCCAGTCTGTTGTAAAGAGGTTTATAATGGGTGGTTAGCTGAAATTGCGATACTAGGAAATTGGAGCTGTTCAGGGAATAGTATGGAAATTTCAATTTTGGCGTTCTTCATAGTTTTTTTAAATCGGAAGCAATATATTCAACTAGACATTATCAAGTATCAGCTAATGGTTGCTCTTGTTCCCAGTGCTAAGCAAGCCAACTGGTCAGAAGAAGCATGCATGGAAACCAAATTCTGTTTCTATAAGATGTGAGCAAAGTACCCAAGGGAGTAACAATTTGGATGTTTGGCTTGGGCGGCTCGCGATGGTAGGCTTTGCAATTGCAATCAGTGTTGAAATAGCAACAGGCAAGGGACTTTTGGAGGTATGACCTTCCTAATCACGGAAAGTGGATCTCATTGTTACTTATATTGCTGATACCTGATAGAAATTGTTTTAAGAATTTCTTTAGCATGGAGACCATAGTTTTGGAATCTGGATTTTGGCCTATCTAATGCTTAACACCTAATTGCAATAAGATACTAGCTCCACTGTCAGGCTCTTTTGCTCGCTTGACACATATTGCAGGTCTTATATTTTCTGTTCAGAAGATTATATTCTTCCTAATTATTTATACAAAAGTATCCTTTTCTACCATTGGCCGTATTCCATTTGAACTTTGAAGTGTTGAGTTGTTCTAAAGATGGCCCTTAAAATGTATTTAGAATGTATTCCAATGGCTTTTGTGGTCAATTTTTATTTCCATACACTTGTCCTACTGATGTTCGCTTGATACAGAAGTGACCATTGAATTATTCTAGGCTGGTCGTTGATTTGCTTGATTCTTTAGGATGGTGTTTGCCCTTCCAATTCTTATTTTCTTTATTTTTTTATCTATTTTGTCCAGTTAGAAGAAATCCATAGTTTAACCTAACCCTCATTCTCCCTAGTGTCTTGTAAGACAAGTTTCATACAAGATACGAAATTGAATTAACTGAAATTTTACCAGAACCATTGTTTTAATGATGCAGAATTTTGGACTAACGACTCCCCTGCCTACCGTGGCCTTGGCAGTTACAGCATTGGTTGGCATATTGACCGCAGTTTTCATCTTCCAATCAGCTTCCAAAAGCTGATCACATCTAAGATTATTACACGTTGGCTGGCTGTAAAGTTTGTAATTCTAAAAAGTATTTTACCTGATATTCGTTTTCATTCGTTGCAACTTGTAATATTCCCAAGTGCCAACTATGGGCAACCAAATTGGAGTGTACAACTAGAAGAACCTTTTCTCACGGAAATGACTCCCACTGATAGCAAGGGCTTTGTTTTCCGATTTTCCTGTATTGTACAGACCATTTTCCGTGTGCATTATATTATATATACATGTTCTGGGGTTGCTAGGAGGAGAGCCTGTGGTGCCCAAGGTTCAATCAATCACGTGTCTTCTTCTAAAGATATTGGCCCCAATTTGTGTTTCAGACTAAGATAAGTGATATATACTGCTTTCTGAAGAAGTTCAATGTATTCCTTTCAGATATGAAGAAAGCATCTCCATCAGTCTAAGTAAGTTCATTTACTCTGGAAAACAAATATACTAGAAGGGGAGACAATGGGCTTTATTGCCTTCTGTCCCAAAGAATCAATACCCTTTCAGCCTTTTCCTGTAGAAGTTTTTCTGTCTAATATTCACTTGGAACACAAGGTATCTCTCATGTATATCTCCCTGTAAACTGATGCTTTTGCTTCGTTTTTTTCAGTTGGTCTTATTTTCTCCTGCAGAACAAAGATCTGGTGCACTTGGCCAGCAAAATTTGGCGTCTTCTTTAATTCTTTTCATATTACAGCATGGGTGCATTGATGTCTAGGATGAGGAAGCGACTCTTCCAGAACCGTGAAGTCAGAATTCTGATGGTCGGTCTTGATGCATCGGGGAAGACAACCATTCTATACAAATTAAAACTTGGTGAAATTGTTTTGACCGTACCAACTATTGGTATGTACTCTGAAAAGATATTAGCTCTCTTTGTTTTGTTTGTTTTTTTTTCCAATAGTAGTTTCAAAACATTTTGATCTTCCTTTTCCTTAAGAAATTTTGTTTGATATTGTGAATGTTCTTTTGAAGTCGGACACAGCGGAGAATAGCTTCTTTTTTTGTTTCTTTGTTTGTTTTCTAAAGTAACATGACATATTACGACATGGTCAAATCTGATCATAAGAAAAGATTCTCTTCAAGCGAATCAGTCTACCTCTATATGGAACTTTATGAAGCATTTTCTTTATTTAGCTCATTTTGGACTTTCTTAGCACCACAATCGTGGGGTGGGAGATCAACCCTCAACTTAGGGAATATATAGGTGGCTTAACCTAGCTCTTGGTGAAAAATCTGTTACTCACAGGTCCTCTTAATAATAATCTTTAATTTTTGAAGTTAAGTTTGTTCACTAATTTTTCTTTCTTCTTTTTGGTGTCTTGTAGCATTTGTTTTAATACTTGATCCATTGTTAATGTTTGTAAATTGGTTTTTCAAAAGTGAAATTTCAAATAGAGAAATGAGTAGTAATGGAAGATTTACAATTTTCAAGTATTATAATTTTCGAAAGATTTTTTTTAGTACAATTTTTGAAAGATATTGTTGTCTTAATTTTGCCCCTATTAAGTACCCTACTTAATTACTTATATTATCAACCTGGCTGGTTAGTTTTAAATTGAAAAGACTTGTCGCTTGTGCAACGAGGTAGGGATATTTGTTGAACAAGTTTATAGTTACATTATGATTCAGGGTTCAATGTGGAAACAGTAGAATACAAAAACATTAGCTGCACTGTCTGGGACGTTGGAGGACAAGATAAGGTTTGAAATCACACCCTCTCATTCTGCCGTCTCCGCTTACTTTACCTTGATTGCAATCTAAAAAAATTAGTGTATGCTTCAAATTTTATGTTAATGAAACTTTAACAATAATGCTAACCAAGAATAGAATAAGTGACAAGGTTTAGGGATCAAAATATTATTTAAACTGAGATGGAATACTACATGCTGTGTAGCATGATGTAGTCCACTTTGATCATAAACCTCACGGTTTTACTTTTGATTCACCCAAAAGGCTTCATACTAATTGAGGTGTTTCTTACTTATATACCATGAAACTTATTCTTTCACAACGTGGGACTTTGTTTGCAGTCTTTGCAAACCTAACCGTAGGTCTATGAACTTTCTATTTTTGGCTAATTGATTCTTGACCTATTGAACATTTTTTAATAAGAACTTATTAGACACAAAACTGAAAGTGAGTAGCCTATTAGGTACAACTTCAAAGGTTAATGACCTACTAAACATTTTCTAAAGTTCAAGGATTTATTAGACATAACCTTAAAAAGTTTAAGTATCAAACTTGTAATTTAAAACACGTACTTGTCCAATTGCTAATATTATTTATGTAACTGTAATGTTAAAAAAAACGATTTATTTAACTAGAGAACAAAATGTTCAAATTAATGAGGTCTCAAATTTGTTTTAAACCAAGCAGATAAGGCCATTGTGGAGACATTACTTTCAAAACACACAAGGACTTGTGTTTGTTGTGGACAGCAGTGACAGAGGGAGAATCTGTGAAGCCCGCAATGAGCTACATCGTATTCTCAGTGAGGTATAGTCTCAAACCTTCATTTTCACACAATTGAGGATTCGAACATATGACGTTTTGGTTGAAAAGTATATGCCTTAGTCATATGAGAGTTAGGAAATACTTCAGTTTTACCTTGAGATGTTAGAAGTTTGAGTCACCATTGATATGAAGAAAAGAAAAAGAAACACTACAAGTTAGGATATTGAGTTGAACTGAACTAAAAAAAGTTCATAGTATTTTTAATAGAAGTTTCTTTTTATTGTGAACAAATCTAGATTTGTTTACAAGGCCTTCTTCATAATCCCTTTAGTTAAATCTATGTGCTAAGATGACTTTGAGATGCAAATTAAAAATTTGACAGCCAGAGCTCAGGAATGCAGCTGTGCTTGTATTTGCCAACAAGCAAGACCTTCCACACACAATGGCTGTTTCTGAAATTGCTACTAAACTTGGCCTCCACACCCTCTCACAGAGAAGATGGTACGCAAGTTAATATTTTTCTATTGTTTTTTTGTTTTTAAGTCTTTTGTCATCGAAAACTTATTTTATTTTTTACTTCAACTTTCAAAACTATTTTATTTTGGTTCTTAAACTTTCAAAATATTTATCAGTGTCCAAACTTTGGAAAGACAATAATTTGTTATTAATTTACCACCGATCGCTCCACACAGGACTAATGTGACTTTGAATATGTGTATTATAATATTAACATGGACCCGTATTGGAGCTTTGTTGAGATGAATATTGGGCGTGGGATATTAGGGTGACGAAATGATGGTAATAGCCAAAAAAGTTGAGGGTCAAAAGATAAATATTTCAAAAATCTAGTTATTAGAATCATTTCTTTTTTTAAAGTTCTAAAACTAGAATAAACACGTTGAAAGTTTTTAAAATAAAATAAAATAAAAGTTTAAAAGATTAATATCTAAAGCAATTTTTAAAATAATTTTGGAAAAATAACAGCCTCTCCAATTTTCACCTTTTTTTTATTTTTTTTATTATTATTTTTAAAACAGGTACATACAAGGTGCTTCTGCAACTTCTGGGGAAGGGCTGTATGAGGGTTTTGATTGGCTATGCAGCAACATTCCCAACGAACGCTCTCCATGACATGATGCTTCATTAATCAATCTTACCTTATGGACTCGTATTTCTAACTCGATCAAAATGTCGAGTTCTAAATTTTATGAAAAATGTCCACGACTCGATATCTAAAACAGATGAGATAAAGATCATAAAAATTTCAAGATCAATGAATCAAAATCTAATACTTAAACTTCACAAACTCCACCTACTTCTGCAATGAATTTGACATGCTCACAATGTCGGAAGAAAATAAACATTTTTTCTCAATATAGTTATTGAATTTTTTATTTTTAGAAATATGAATGCAAAAGTTTTATTTTAAAAGTAGACAACATTCCTAAAATACTATGACAATTTTATTACTATTTTTCTGCATTTTATACTTTTTAGCAAAAAAAACACTTATTACCATGGCAGAAGTTGATGGATCAATTTTTCACCTAGTGAAATAAAAAGAAGAATACTTACGGGTCTGTGTTTGATAACTTTTCTGTTTCTTRTTTTGTTTGGTAATCTTTCTATTTCTTGTTTCTCATTTCTAATTTTCTTAAGAAATTTAAGCATTTTGCAACTAAATATGTTTCTCTTGTTTCTCATTTTTTGGAAACATTTTCAAAATTGTATAGAAATTTTTGAAATAGCCAAAACAAGTTTCTTTTTTCTTGTTTTCTTCTTTCCAATTTTGTTCCAAAACATAAATAAAAAAAAGTTGATTTATCATATTTGAATTCATGGATGTCTGGGCCATGAAATTCACTTTTCTTTATTATAAATAAAGAAGCAACAAGAACGTTACCCAATGAGTCCTAAATAAATGAAACGGTCCATGGGAAAGAAATATGTGGACTAATATATTTTATAGAAATACTTTCTCATAGTTGGCTTATTAGCTCAGTTGGTTAGAGCGTCGTGTTAATAACGCGAAGGTATGGGTCATCTTTTAAAATAGACAATGAAACTGGTTTTTTTAACACATAATTGAAATTCTTCCTAAATTGGTAGTTTAATTTATTAATTATTATAATGCTCAAATGAATTCTGCCTTTCGAACAACTCTCTTCTTTAATTTACTCCAAAATTGGGTTACGTTACAAAATCACGAAATAAAATGAAAATGCTTTAAAATTTAAATATATTTAACTTTTCTAGGGAACTTTTATTTGAGCAAAAAGATTCTTTTTAGTATAATGTAAATATTTTTTAAATACTTGAGACCAAAATTAAGTTAGGGTACATTTTTTAGTATAATCTGAACTATTAAGTATTAACAAAAACACAAAATAAAATGGAAATAGTTTATAATATTTATATTCTTTTTTTTTAAATTTTTATTGAGAGTATAGGACCAAAAGATTTGTTGACAGAAGCATGTGCATTGCAATCCCAGCAAATCTCTCTCTCATTTTTGTCTAACAAAGCCCCTTCTAACCAAACCATATAATAATTTGGTCCTCACCAACTAATTAAATTTAATGTCTATTTTTATTTCCTTGACTAATTAAATTAATCATTGGAATATTTTGTTTTTTTAATATTACAAAACTTCATTTATGATTATTAAAAGGAAAACAAAAAAGGTTAACTATTTGTCTGCGCAATTTTGAATTATATTTATTTTTAATCCTTGTTATTGACATTGTTAGATAGAAAACATATATTAGGGGAAATATAGGTAGTTATTGGGACAAAATGTAGTTAATTTCTAATGGAAGTGAATAAATAGGCACCTGAATTGGATTAGATTTAGGGTGTGTTTGGGAGTGGCAGTAGAACGAGTGCTTTTGAAAAAGAAGATTTAAGTATAATTGATTTTTCAAATTCACCGTCGAAGATACTTTAAAAATCAATTTAAAACGATTTTAAATTTTTCTAAAATCGATTTTTTAATTTGTCAAATATGATCAACGGAAAGGAAGTGACACTCCCAAACACACCCTTAATAACATTTTTGTTAAAAAAAAAAGCACATTGATCACTGTACTTTCACTAAATTAGTTATTTAGTTTTTAGTCTCTGAATTTTAGTATATAATAATTTAGTTCCTATAGTTTAAAATTTATAACGATTTAAATTTTTTTTAAGTTTTTTAGATCCATAATTCAATGAGTGATCAAATGTATTTATAAATTACAAAACTAAATCATTATATATTAAAAAATCGACACTTAATTTTGACGAGATTTTTCACAATAAGAATTAAATTGTTATAAATTTTAAACTATAGGAATTAAATTGTTACATAATAAAGTTCATGGATTAAATTATTACCAATTTAAAAATATATGAACTAAATCGTTACAAACTCAAATTTAGAGATTAAATCGTTACTTTAACTAAAGTATAGGAACTAACGTATTTTTTAACCTAACATTCTAAGTGCAAGATTACATTATTTGTTCTTGAGTTCTTGTCAAATTTTCCTATTGTAAGTTTTCGAATTTATATAGGTTTAAATGGTCTATTTCATTAGTTTTTTGGTGGCTACAATAGTGGATAGACGATTAGAAGTCTACAAAATCAATCTTTCAATTCTCAACTATTTGTTAAGTGATGTCACCTCATTCAAATTTTAAGAATGAATGTCACCTTAAGTTTTGTCAACCAATGTTATTAATATAATCTAAAAATGGGCCTTAAGCTTAACTTAAAAGTTTTAAAATGTAATTAAATTTCAATAAAATGTTAATTAATACAAGGATAATCTTAAACCCTTTCAATGAATGGAAACTAGAACGAACGCTATCCCACTTTACTACTTCACTCTCAATCTTTAAACTATTCCATATCGGTTTGGCGTCGATTATCAGTTGCCATGTACTATAATACAAAAAAAGCTTGAAATGTTTAAATACTAAAATAATAAATTAACTAGTATTAAAAATTTCGTTTTTGTATCAACCTATATATGTAATTATTATTAGTTGTGTACGTTAGATAAATTATCATTGTTATTTAAAAAATAAGAACTTTGAGAATATAACAATTGTTTAAAATTATTGTTCTATATAAATTGTCTTTGTGCACTGCATATTTGAATGTTTGGTTTTGCCCTTTCAAAGTAATCACAAAAGCTAGCTAAGCTATATATTGTAGTTGAAGCAATTCTTTTATAAAAAAAAAATAATAATAATTAATTAATTAATTAATTTTTATAAACCATTCGTTGGGAAACAGTTGTAATATATGGAGAAATCCATACTTGATTTATAATTATAATATAAAGTTTGCATTATTCTTTTAGTATTTAAATAATGTTTGTTGTGAAGTTTTTTGGTCACCAAATATTCTTGCAACAAATTCTATCCTACAAGTATGACTCCTCAATTATTTCAATAGATTAAACTAATTTGGCTATCCTTATCAAGTTTATATTTTTAATGAAAAATAAATCAATTCCAAAAATATTAAATTAATGTAATTTAGTTCAATTTTTTATATTTTATTTTATAAAAAAATATAAAAGTTAGTTAATCAAAATTAAACTATGTACTGGTGATACTCAATAGAAAGTTTATACGTAAAAAATACGAAGGAGATGAAATCCTGGTTTTGTTCATATACTGTTAAAGGTTACATTTTACTCATAGAGATTTCATAAATAACTATTTTAATCGTTGTCTTTTTTTATGGGATGTTAACCAAGGATCGAAAATTTGAACCTAAAACTTAAAAAAAATGTTTCATCGGCCATTGTCGTCTTTTTAATAAGCATGTGAGCCTAATTTGCGCTACGGTATATCAAGGTATATCAAGATTTTTGGACCTATGACCAATAAGTTAAAAGTTCAATACTCTACGCCCAATTAAATTATATTTGAATTCACGATTTGAACCATCAAAATTACTCACATTAGTTTATTTAATTAAATGTTATATTCGGTTAAAAAATAAACTAATGGTCAAAAGATTATAGTATCTACAATATAATAATAATAATAAAAAAATCCAACTATGAAGACATCCTTGAACTTCAAAACCTTTCATAAAAGTCATAAATTCAAATTTGCAGCTGGAGTATTCCATATTTTTAAAAAGTTTTATTTATTTATTTATTTTATTTTATATATCTATTTAATTATTTTAAATAAAACAAAGGAAGAAAAATTGGAGTTGAATGAGTTTGACTCATCTTGGTCATCAATAGCCTTCAGACAGCTGGGGCAAAAGTAAAACTTAAAGAAAAAAGTGGCCAAAAGTCATAAAGTAAATATTATTATCATAATCCATAGATCAATAAAAAAAATAATAATAATAAAAATAAGGCACATTACATCCCTTAAATTTTCTATTTGGTTCTAAATTTAAAAGTTTACAATTTAGTCAACATGAATAATTTAACTCAGTAGTAATTGACACGGGTAAGAGGTCATGAATTTGAATCCTCCTATCCTCATTTGTTGTACTAAAAAAAATCTTGCAATTTAGTAGGGAGAAAATTGAGTTTTTATTTTAATAATTTTATTAATAATGTCAACCATGGAGAAATTAATTTATAATTAAAAAAACATACTACATATACACATAAACTGCTATGTTACCGCTGTCTTACTAAATTCAGTTTAATTTGAAGGATAATTTATAATCATTTTCAAAACCTTAAAACTAAATTGTCATATTTTGAAACTTATGAACCAAATAAAATCTTAACGATTAAAAGTATAATTGACCTAAAAAAATAAAATATAGCAATAAGTATATATTTAAATTTTGACTTGTATTGTAATAATAATGTTTATGAAGTACATATATTTTCCAAATTCATATTATCACTTTGATAGTAATGCAATGATAAGCTTATAACTAATGTAGGTCAAAGTTGGTAGGAATTCATTATATTGTTATGATGTAACCTTTATTCTTAATTTTTTTTTATCCCTTTAAATTATACATATTCCACATAACAATAGAATTAATTACTCATGGGTAATATGCACTTCTAATAAAAACATTTGTGGACTAATTGATATTTTTGTAAATTGAAATGATTGGGCAAATTTTGTACCTAAAAAAATATTAGCTCTCAAAAAGCAACCTATTTTTCTCTCTCTATCATGCCAAAAAAAAACAAAAACAAAAACATGCCACGTAAGAAAATTGTTAACCTCTAA